CTTTTACAAATATTTGTGTTTCCTAGTCCTACTATTTTCACAATTAAGTATGAAAAAAGATGATGCATCAACACTATCAATTCCCTTTACAATCTTAAACACCCCAATCAGATCCCCTCTAACTCTTATTTTTTTAAGAGAAAACAATTTGAGAGATTTCAACCTCGTATGATAAGCCCTTCATTCTAGGCGCCTTTCTAAGGGGTGTTGCAAAATAAATCAAACTTTTCCCCCGAAGTAATGACGAATTTTTTAGGACCGCGAATATCATCTCTCGTGAGAAAACGTCATTTCAACGTACTCTTGGGTGTTTGACTCTTCGAATTTCATTTGTTTTTTGCGAAAGATTTTGAATCATGGTGCTCACTAGAACTCAGGTTCGTGTCGCATGTGCTGCCTTCGGGATGGTTCAGAAACTAGTCGTAGACATGCTCCGAGAATTCAAGTCTTCCAATCGACAGATTTTAAAAATCCGATTAATGCCTCAAAAGTTTCAAAACTGTTCAATTTGAAAGAGTGGTCCGTGAAAAGTGGTGGAATGTGGATTGGGAACTCTCCAGATTTAAATCCCGCCGAAAATGTCGGAGCTTTCGTTCCCTATCCCCTGTGTGCCTTGAAAATGTGGTGGAATGTGGATTGGGAACTTTCCAGATTTAAATCCCGCCGAAAATGTCGGAGCTTTCGTTCAACAATGCACAGAAGAAATGTTGGAAGTTGGAAACTTTGCCTGAATGTGAGAGTCACAAACGTGAAATCTTGATTCGTGTTCTCACTGATGTGCTCACAGAGATAGCCACAAAAACAGACATTTTTGTTGCATTGCTGAAATCTTTTGCAAATCGATTAAAACTCGTGTATGAGAACAATGGTGGTCCAATCAAGCGATATTGATACTTGGAATTACTTTTTTGATTGAATTAAAATCTTATTTTACTTTGTTATGCTCTCGGGGGAAAAAAAGTGTGATTTAGTTTGCAACACCCCTTATATACAGGGTGTAGCAAAACATATAACATAGTTTAATTTATAATGTCTTACTCTGAAACAAACAATAGTAAGTTTCTTTAAATTGTTTTATTACAGTTCCAACCGTAACATTTGCCACACCCTGTATATATCAGTTTGTGAAGACTAACCTCACAAAATTTTAAGCTAGTACGTCCAATAGGTTTTTCATGTATCTGATATATACACACAAAATCATCAATGCTAACAAATGATAAACATTAGCAAGAACACTGCTAATGAATGGTTTATTCTTAGTGGCAGGTTGTGCAATGAATGCTTTATCTTTAGCAGTAACAGTTTCTAGTAGTTGCTTTATTTATATCAACAGCATTTGCTAATAAATGTTTACCTTTACCAGAACCATTTCCCAGTGGATCAATCGCTAATGGATACTTATTTTTAACAGCATAATTTACTAGTAGTTGTCTTATCTTTAGCAGCAGAATTCGCTCGTTAATGCTTTATTTTCAGCAGAAATGTTAATTCTTAAACATTTTTAAAGTATACCTCACTTAATGTTTAAAGTTTCCAGTAAACGCCGTCAATAAAGCTCAATTCGGTTTGCTTTGAAGATAAAGCAGACAAAAATATATATTTAGCTGGCTAGGACACAAAGATTATTTATTTTAATATTTTCACCTAAATTTTATATTGTTGTGTGGTTTGCCTATTTAGCGCAAAACTACACTATGCACTATTTGCACTCTGTCCACTGCGTGGAATCAAATCTCGGATTTTGACGATGTAATTACCTCTGACCTTCCCGGAAATACTGAATTTTTGTAACACTTCCAAACCAAAACACAGTTTCATTGAATGTTTTAGTTTCCTTATATGATCTGGAATATATATATATGTATCTCTTACTGTAAAAGCACCTTGTCTTATAAGTGTTGATAAACAATAAATGTGTTTCTTTGTTTGTAGTTAAGCACAAAGCTACGCAATAGGCTGTATGTGCTGTGCCTACCACGAGTATCGAAACCCGGTTTCTAGCGTTATAAGTCCGCAGACTGTGCTACTGGGGGGCGATAAACAATAAAATCCAGTACCGAGATTTGTAACTTTGTTTTGGTTAAACTTGTGGGGTTACCATATCTAGTCAACAGTTACTTCCTGTGTTCGGAAGTAGTCGCATTGTTTCATCTTCCGGAAAACACAATTGCGCTCATATCGAGTTATATACCGTTTTTTTACCAGACCAGACTGGATATCAGTTGAACTTATCCATACATGCATATTTAGCAAACGCGGTATTTCAAATAAGAAGTTTCTAATATATGCGATTTTTGTGTGCACTTACCAACATACGGGTCATTTTCTTCAGTATCTGTGTTGTGTCCGCCGCGGGGATCGAATCCCGAATTTATATTATAAGCTCACATGCTTACCACTGGGCCATCATGGGTGCGGTTCAGTCTGTACTTTTTTAATTTGTTCATTTAGATTAAAGTTTCACCTCCCCCCTCCCCCCCTGTGGGAGAGCGGTAAGTTTCCGGACTTACAACGCTAAAATCTGCGTTCGATTCCCCATGGTGGACATAGCATACAGCCTCATGTGGCTTTACTGTAAAACAAACCATTGTAAAGCTAAGCTTACGCATTTTAAGTCTATTCGTTTATGCTTAATTTGGACTTGTTTAAATTTGTGTTATTTAGAATGATACTGCGCTAACTTCCTATCGTTCCTTCAAACAGTACCTAAACTAACCATTGTGAACAATACAAATTAAACAAGATACTGCGCTAACTTCCTATCATTCCGTTAGTTTAGGTACTGTTTAAACTTGTTTAATTTGTATTGTTCACAATGATACTGCGCTAACTTCCTACCGTTCCGTTAGTTTAGATACTGTTTGAACTTGTTTAATTTGTATTGTTCACAATGATACTGCGCTAACTTCCTGTCATTCCGTTAGCTTAGGTACTGTTTAAACTTGTTTAATTTGTATTGTTCACAATGATACTGCGCTATCTTCCTATCTTTCCGTTAGTTTAGGTACTGTTTGAACTTGTTTAATTTGTATTGTTCACAATGATACTGCGCTAACTTCCTATCATTCCGTTAGTTTAGGTACTGTTTAAACATTTTTAATTTGTATTGTTCACAATGATGCTACGATAATCTTACGAGAATTCAGTCGAAAAACTCTAGCAGAATAGAATACTCAATACCTATACTAAAACAATTAACTCTTGAAATAATTTACTATGTGGTTGGAAATTTAGCCCATTTCTTCAGGTAAGAAATAATTAAGAAGTTTGCATTCTTCAAATTGATGACTAATTCACATCTAATGTTTTACGGCTACCGCAGATGGTTTGCAATACAGTGAATTTTGGAACGTTCATTTACTTCCTTCCACTAAATCATCTTGAAAGATGTTTTGTTTATTACATTGTTGATACCAGTTATCTAATGGCAATAAACGTTTTACAGAGTTAATTGTTAGCCAGTGCCTTGTATTGTCTTTATAATTTGTTTAATTCTAAGAACTTATGAGTGAAAGTCTAATCGGAGTTTTCATTATAGAAAACGAATGACGTAATCATATGGTGTCAACTGAAAAAGATGTTTACATTATTCTTTGATGCGATTTTATTGACCTTACACTAGCCTT